CGATCCTTGATCTGGCCGAGATGTTGAAGTGATGGAAGGAGTAGTGGCGGACGGAGGAGGCTGACTTTTCTTTTTCTTCTTTGGAACGTCAGGAAGAACCACCTTGTAAGTGGGAATGAAATTAAGCAGCAAAGGGGCTCTCCGCTTGTGGACTGGCAAATCTAATGGCTTTTTCAAGTCCTTTTTGGGGAAGAAAGACTTGCGAAAGCCCTTTGGTGGCTGGGAAAGAACTGCAAAAAGAAGAGCACAGACATTAGAACAAAATATTGAAAACTTTAAAAAAGAGAGCAAGAAAAAGTGACACTTGGCCCTTACCATCTCCTTCCCTGAAACTGTTCGGCTTAGGGGATAAATATGGAGGTCATCATTTGGCTGAGACTTCTAGTTGCCCGAGACGATGAAGTAATCGTCTCCAGCACCCTTGTTTGAGTCTAGAATGTCGGCAATGAGCTTGTACTCAGTGGACCCCGGCTTGAGGTAATAGATGTGGCCTTTTTTCGATTTCAGGCGACACATAGTGTAGCAGTACTGGATATCGGCAAGGGTAACCCTAGCATTCTCTTGTTTGGCTAAGGCTGTTACACCGTTGATAACTCGGTAAGAATTGATGGCAAGCTGCATTGGGTTCAATTTATAGTAATGAAGGATTTCTTAGAAAAAGGTGTCAAGGGGAAACCTAAGTCCACACTCGATAAAGGCCACTACTGGGAAAGGCATGAGGTTCACATCGGGTATAATAGAATCCTCCTCCCCTGCCAACTTGAGGTGGACGTCGGCAGGGATGGAAAACTCCCGCCTAAAGTATTCTGATATGGTCGGGGTGTCTACCCTATGCTTCCACATACCCATGACGTCGGCTTAAGGGGAAGGTGTATAAATTAGAAATAAAGTGTTCTGTAAAGGCTCAGAAGACCTCGACAAAACCTAAAGTTCACGCTGGGGTAAGAATTTGTGAAGATCAGAGGGGGATTCGTTTCAGTTTTCCCTAAGATTCGTGTGTTCTAGGGCAAATCTCAAACCTAAGTCTAAGCAAACGGAGATTGAAGGCAAGAATCTGGCGAAAATACAGAAAAGACAAACAAGAATGATTCAGAATCAAGAATAGTGGCGAATCATCAAGAACATTGTGACAGAGTGTGTGCAAGGGTGCAAGGCCAAGAACAGTGGCAAAAGTGAACAAATTTGTGAGTAGTGTGTGAATATTTAAGAAATGATTGGGCAAAAACAGAATCACGAAGCAAACATACTCAAGCACATGGTGAAAATTAAGGTACAGATTAAAATGATCGAAGACATGAGCAAGTACGCAAAAATGACAGAGTTCGAGGTAAATCAAGAACTGAAACAGGAACAGTGGCTTACCAGAAAAAGTGAGACCGGTGTGGGGATCGCCGAAGTCAGATGACGGTTGCAAAAGCGACAGAGCGGTGAAAATCACGCCGGAAGAGGTGAACGGAGCAAAGTTGCAGAGCTAGGAAAGCTTGAACAATGGCAGATTTTAGAGAAAAGGTTAGAAAGAGAAAAAGATTCAGAAACAATAGTGTAAAGTGAAAAGACGGAGAGAGGAAGGACGTTTTGTCTAAAACACAAAAATGGCGGCAACGAGGCTATTAATATGCCTAAAACGACGTATGTGTCAGGCGGTGCATGCGAGAAAAATTCGACTTACAGGCGCGTATCAAGTACGATCCAGTGAGGGGAAGACGCGTGGCAAAAACGGTTGATTTATTTTGCGTGACAGCTCAGACGCGTGATAAAACTCTTGGAGTTCTTGGTTTAAATAAAGCAATGACCTCGGCTGATAGGAAGATCTCGGCTAAATAACTCAAATGAACTAGGTTATTGGTTCTAAAAGCCTTAATGAGACAGACTATAGGATCTGATCGTGTGAAGCCGACGTATTATGACCTCAGTAAATGGATGATACAACAAGATAGCCGACATGAACGATATAGGTTCCATCACCTCAAGATGCCGAGGTAATAGAACCTAGGGGGCAGTTGTGGGGATATATTTCTGAGTACCAACACGTGGCCAAGGTGACGCCGACGTGTCAGCCGGGGTGTCACGTGTCCTAGTCGTAACGTCGAGGTGATCTCGGCTAGGCCGAGGTTATCTCCGAAGATATCGGAGTCCGGGATAAGCGGATAAGGGACAAGAGTCCTAGAATGAGGAAGGACTTCAGCCTGAATAAGGATAAAGCTCTTAGGGAGTTTATCCTTATCTATTAGAGAGTCCAAGATAAGCACTGAGCTGAAGTCCGTGGAAGCTAGGCTTCTATTGGGACTGGGATTGAGTTGGCTATAAAAGAGAGGCACCCCAATGGGTCTAAGGTACACAATTTGTACTCTGAATAGTGAATTGAGCACTTTTTTATCTTTGAGAGATAGCTGACTTAATCATCGGAGTGCCCCCGGGTGGACGAACCACCGCCAGAATCTTTTCTTTCTTTTGCAGGTCATTCAGGCGCCATCTATTCTGCCAATGCTCTCCAGTTGAATACTGAATTGGCAGTGTGGTCAGAAATTCACTCACACAAATTGTATAAAAAATTATATTATTTTTTATGCACTTTTCACCATCTCCATTCTAACCAAACTCGTATAGTGCTTTTTTGATAACACTATTGTATAAAATAAATTAAAAATTATTGAAATTTTTATTTGGTGATGAATAGCAGTGAAACACTCCTTTAATATGAAATGGTATAGTTGAGTTGGTCAAAACTTATGTATCAAAGGTTTTTGTTTTTCAACGCTTCCAAGCTATGTCCTTCTTTGTATCCGGGAAAAAAAGAAAAAAGAAAAAAGAAAAAAAAATACACACACTGTTTAACAAACTCAATTTTTAAAGGCATCTTAAATTCTTGTACAAATCTTGATTCAAATTTAAATACAAATAAAAAAGACTCAAAACATATCTGGACTCATTAACTCAAATTCCGCCAAATTATGCTATCTACTCGGATACCCAAATCTTGACTCAAATACTCAACAAATGCATTTAATTTGCTTCATTTGAAGTTTCATTTATCTATACAATTATAGAAATCCAACATCAAATTTAGTGTAGATATTACATATTTTTCTTTTATAAAAACGGCCACAATAAATGCGAGAAAATTGATAGTGTAGATATTACATATTTTACATTTTTAAAAATGGCCACAATAGACGCGAGAAAATTGATTTAGACCCTTAAAATTTTAACTATTAGTTTAAGTCAATTGTACACTGAAACAAATTGTATGGTATAAATTTAAAATTAATGAGATGTGAGTCACACTTATAATAATTGTAATCCACATAAATATATTAATTAAAAATAATTTTCTAAATAATTTTTTGAGTTTGTAGCATTGTTCATTACCAAAAGTTTAAACTTTAAAATTCTGTTCCTTCATTTGCGACGGTTTATGCTGCCGTCGCAAAAAAACATTTTTTGCGACGAGAAAACCGCCGTCGCTAATGTTTCCGTCTTTTTTACCCCTTTTTCTTGTAGTGATTGTTCATTACCAAAAGTTTAAACTTTAAAATTCTGTTTTGTTTGATTTTCAAAATTATTTTTAAATGAACTGCATTAGGTACATCTAAAAATATAAAATAATCAATTAAGATATGAAAGAATTTTTTTACTAAAAAAAGACAAAATTTTGTATGCATTGTTTAAAAAAAAATTAACTAAAATTAAATTTTTAGACATACCTAAAAAATTGTATCATTTGTGATGTACCAAAAAACATTTCTTTAATGACAAACAAAAATTGTTTCAAAAAATCAAAGAAAAAAAAACTTTAAAGTTAAAAATTTCTAGCAAATACAAGTACCAAATAGGAGAAATTCTATTCCACACATCAAGTTTTTTTACTTCGCACACTTAATGAATTTTTTTCAAAATCATAATTTTATCTTTTAACAAAATTACCATCTCACCCATCACCATGTCACCCACACGTCTCACAATTTCTCCATACACATCTCACTCACATAATTTGATGAGAGTGCGCACACACTCGTTTTGTGGCTTTTTGTATTTTTTCTGTATTGATGGTGGTTCAACTGCTAACTCCACAAGAGTCCACATAATCTGTATTTATTAAACTATATGTTTCTTTATTTTTTTTTAGTTTGTGTGTATCATTTGTTGGTGTCTACTACATAATTTCATTGAAGTAACTCCACAAGAGTCCACATAATCTGTATTTATTAAACTATATGTTTCTTTGTTTTTTTTTTAGTTTGTGTTTATCATTTGTTGGTGTCTACTACATAATTTCATTGAAGTTGTTTGCCGGGAAGGTGTTTTCAGTAATGGGTCATCTTTGAATCTTCCTAATTTGGGGTTAAATTTGGTTTCCATGAGATTTTGAGGAGAGCCATCATGGACCTAAAAGTTGGGTTTTATCAGAATCGTGTTAAGATGAGATGGGTAATCCTTTAATTTGTGTTTTTTGCGAAATGGGTTTGCTTTTAATCTGTGTTTTAGAACAAACCCGTATGTGTTTTTTGATCAAATTATTTTTGTTTTTGTTTTTTTTATTGCAGAAAGAATCTTAGAGAACAGTATTGATTTTGGCTTATCAAGCCTTGGAGTTGGCTATAAATTTTGTCTAATATAATCTAATGAGGGTGTGCACATTTTTTATTAAATGAATATATTTGGAATGTAGGGTGTGTGAACTGAAATAAATATCAAAAAATCAAATTACTAAATGTGTAGAGTAAGAAATGATGCATACCGAGATAATGTGATAGGTAGGAAATAATTTCCCACAAAACAGTGTTTTCAGTTACAATTTGGATGGTGGAGAAACTTAAACTGAATTGACTATAATACCTCCCATGAGCTGACCCCTCTCTCTCTGTTTGTGTATATAGTATATATATATATATATATATGCATAGAGAGAGTTATAAATAGAGAACCAACCGCCCCTTTTTGCTTTTACGAGGAACGCCCCCAACTTCCTCTGCCTCCTCTTCACCACCAACCAAAACCAACACACTTGAGTCAAATATACAGATCACACACACTCTCTCTCTCCAAAAGAAACGAAAAGGAAAGATCAATAAAAGGGGCCGAAGGAAAGGGGCTCTTCTCTCCCCTTTCATACAGAGCACACATCACAAACCCTTTTGTCGATTCATGTATGTGTTATTTTCTCAGCTTTTTTCTTTGAAGAAATTCAAAAATTTTAATGCAATTATTGGGCTCTTTCTCTATCTCTTTGATTCCTTATCTATAATCAGCAATGTCATTGTCCACATTCCCAAATCATCCTCTGTTTCTTTTGTTTCTTCACCTTCCTCTGTTTTCTGGGAATTTATTGACTCACAGTACAGTTTACAGAGATGGGTCATCACAAAACCCATAAAGATCTACCAGGATTTTTAGTTTTGATTGAGAATTGAGCTCCACAGATCTCATCTTTCTATGTATCTTCTTTATTCTTTAAAATCATTCTGCAAGTACTAGTGCTTTTGATTTGTATATTTCATTTTTTCTTTTCTGATTTTGGTATTAGCTTTGTAGGTAGGTTTTTTAGGTGAGATGAACTCAAAAAAGGTTCTTTCTTATGGGTTGGTTAATTGATGGTGATTTTATTTGATCCAACTCTTAAAGATCTCTAAAAAGCTCTAGTCTTTTTCATCGTCTATACTCTGTCTCTCTGTAAAGTCCTAAACCCAAGCTTAATATTCTTCAAGAAAAAGGAACTTCCTGGCCCTGGCCCTGGCCCCTCTCTCTCTAAAATATTATATGTATGTATATACATATACATATACATATATATATATATATATATATATATATATATTCTCTCAGTTTCTGATGCAGCTTTGATTTGTATTTGGAACAATGAGAACAGAGCGATCGAAGAATTCCAAGGTATGCAGTCAATAATCACACACAGATACACATATATGAATTTTTGTTTTCTCTAAATCCAAACATGGTCTTATGTGTTGCAGTCTTCATGGCCAAAAGTGGTGGTGCGAAAATGGCTGAATATCAAGACTGGTGCAGATGAATTTCACTCTGATTATACAACAAAAGGTGAGAACGATACTGGGTTTCGATTTATGGTATTCGATTTCGATTCTGTTTTTTGTCTTTTGGATTTTTATGAAACTGTTTTTATTGTTGTGGAAAACAAATTCAGCTATGGCGGATGGAGGAGTAAGAGAAAGAAGTGAAAGAAGGAAGAGTTGCTCCGACAAGGACTGCTACGTCGTCGTACCGGAGGAGCTATCGGGTAATTTTCCTGTGGGTTTGCAGTTGTAGCATGCTTCGTACACCGTCGGCTTTGTCTTCCGTTCATTTCTTTGGTTTATGGATGAAGATTGGTAATTATAAAGATTGGTAATTAGGAACGATTTTTATTGGTACCCTGTTTGGATCAGTTTGGACAGGTGTATTCTATTATACACCTCCCATGTCATATGTATCTGTAGTTACAATTAATTTTTTTTCTTTAATTATAATATTATTTTAAGATTTGAGTTAGGACTTTGTTTATGTTTAGTTATGATTTTTTTTTATCATTATTATTATTTTAATTATGACTAAAAAAAGTATGAAATTATTCATTTTGTTAGGTTTGAATTTTTTGAATTAAGTTTTTTGAAAATTAATTTTTTTAGTTTTCGTATTTTTTAGTTTTTAGTGAATATTTTTTAAATTTTAAATATTTTTTTATTTTTTTAGATGCACCTTACTTAGATGTATCTAAAAAGTAAAAAATTTGTAAAAAAATATTTTAAAAAATTAATAAATATATAAAAATACAAAAATGTACTGAATTCTTGTATTTTTTTTATATTTTTGGTATTTAGTGAATTTTTAAAAGATTTTTTTTATATTTTTTTTACTTTTTAGATGTATTTATGTTAGGTGTGTCTAAAAAGTAAAAAACTTGTTTAAAATATTAAAAAAATTCAGTAGAAACAAAAAAACACAGAAAATACGAAAGTAGAATTTTCTAAAAAGTGTTTTTTGAAAAGTGAAAACAAGCAAATTATAAGCTACCAAACATTTTTCCTTATATATACACATCCTTGAAAATGGTGAACCATATGTGCACCATTTTATAGTTATTATATTATTTTCTTCTTTATCTATGATCAATTTTTCTTTAGTTAGGACATTACTTTAGTTATGACTTATAATTTTTTTAGTTATATTTTATGCTATGTTTAATTATGACATTTTTTTTTATTTATAATTATAATTCAGAAAATATGAAAGAAATATTATGTTATTTTTTTTTAGTTAATAGGCACATATGTATGTACCTTTTGGTGTTCCCCTTTTAACATTCTTATTTACAGTTTGGGTGATTTACATTTTTAACTTTTAAGTTGAGTTTTAATTTAATTTCTTTGTTTAAATATTCATTTTTTTTTTTTTTTTTTTTTTTGGGGAACGCATTACATGATTCACAAGATTGACAAATATCCCAAAATTATTAATTTTAATCTTAAATTTGAATGAAATGACTAATTGAAAGTAGCCTTATAGTTAGGGATCAAATTATTTCATTTAAAATAATAAAAAGATTAAAGTGAAATTTAGATCAAGTTAGAGGAGTAAAAAGTGTAATTTACCCTTACAGTCAAGCTTTGTTTCTAATTTGAGTTCAATCTGATCATAAGGTTGGTTGATGGAGGCCAGTGATAGTATCGGACGGCCAGGATTTGATGCCATGCAACCAACAGTTACAGATAACCTCAACCTCAGGTAAGGCAAGAAGAATCTCTCTCCTATTACCAACTTATGATATGTAATTACTCAAATTTTGATATGTTGCTTCAACTTTTCAATAATTAATTAATTTTTAAAAAATTTATTCTAGTTATTTCTATTTTATGTAAACATAAATGCATCACAGATCCATTATTGATATTTAAATTTAAATATAATTTTTATTTATAGTACCTTTTATTGGCATGATGTGTCCCAGTCACTGGCTTATAATGAGTTTTTTTTTTTGGCATTGTGTTTGGTTAATTTGTGGTTTTTAAATTGGTAAATGGCCAATCAAGTGGTTTAGCATAAAAAACAATTGAGACAATAATCTTTGGTTCAGATTTTGTTTCTCTAAATCTTTAAATTGCACACCTAATTTGAATTAACTACACACCTAATTGCAGACCAATGATCAGTCTTTTAACACATTTTCTTAAAAAACATAGAAGTTTGGTTTTGTTATGATTTGGGATTGGTTTGAACATATTGATGTTGGTAGTGGTTTGTTTGGATATGTCTATATATATATATATGAATCATAGGATGATTGGGAATTTTTTTATAGGATGTTGGTGGGGACATGGAATGTAGGAGGGAAGTCACCACATGAAGGCTTGAACTTGAGTGATTGGCTAAGGACTCCTGCCCCTGCTGACATCTATGTTCTTGGGTATTCACTGCAACTCTCCTTCCCCTCCTCCCAGTTCTCTCTCTAAAACTCTCTCTCTCACTCTAAAAGTATAATAATTTTAAACACTATGAAAATATGATCAAATTTTTATCATAAAAGTAAGGTGCAGAATAAATTTTGTCTACATATTTCAGTTAATGCGTTGAACTATACACAAGATAATTTTGTTTACATATTTTAATTCTGAATAAAATTTTGATAAAAATATAATTGTTTGATTTTTTTTATACCCAAAACTCACTATTTTTTATTTTTATGCCACTCTTCTACTTCATTATTTAAGTTGATTTAATTTCAGTACATGTGTAAGTCAGATGTAATAAAAATTTTGCCATTTTTAAACCTATCACCAAGCTACCAGCCGCAACTGTCACACGTAAATCTGGCATAGAGCCTACTAAAAGGTGGTTTTTATATATGTGGTGGGCGATTGCCAAAGCATCAATGGTTTTGTCATTATACAAATCATATATATGAAGAAAAAGAGAGAGAGAGAGAGAGATATAGAAGAGGCTATGTAGTGTGGGCCCGTGGGTGAATTCAAATTCGTTTTTTTTTTTAGTATTGTGTTAAAATGTGATGGACTTATTTAATTACGATTATTAATTTAATTTTTTTAGTAATAAATAATCTACATGTAAGATGAAATGATTGATGAATTAGAAAGTACGGATACAGATACGGGATATGGATATGATACGATACGATACGGATACGATGATACAACAAAATAAAAAAAAGTAGGATACGAGTATAGGATACGTTTGTAAAAAATAAAAAATAAATAAATTATTAGCAATGAGTTACACATAAGCTCAAGAATATTGAGAAATCACAGTAACTTTGTAATGCAAAATACTAATCTTTAAGAATTAGGTATTAATTTAAGCTAATAGCTAGTTTAGTTTTTAAATTTTCAATAGGTCTTGCAAATATTTCATTTCAATATCAAGTCTAATATGTTGATATTATAATATCAAAACAATCCATAACTTGACCATATGCTTTTTCCTTTTGCACTAGTCAAAAATATTCTATGTAAGTTTATTTTCTTATTTATTTATTGATATTTAATTTTACTATTGTTATATTATCTTATTAATCCTTACTTCTATGTAGTTATAGGGGACACCCATGATATAATGAAGATATGCCAATTTGATGAATTCTATTATTTGAGCTTACTATGTTATTTTTATTAAAAAAAAACTAAGCAAAGTATTGTAAAAATATTTACTTTTCCATTGCAATTATATTATATCAATGCCAAACCAGCCCTAAAAGGTGGTTAGGAAGTTGCTATTTTTATGTTATTTTAGTATTTTCATATTTTTAAAATTTAATTTTTTGTGTTTTCAAAATAATAGATTTTGTTGTACTTGGATATGATGTTTGTGACAGGAAATTTGCACTGATTCTATGTGTTAATGCTGTTCGTCCCAGTGTATGGATCAGACAGGTCTAAGCTCCTCCAGCCCGTGTCCAAATGATCAAGCCCACCAGATAACCTGCAGGCAAGTTCAACGGGGAAAGACATTAAAAAATATATATATATATATATATATATATAAATATAAAATTAAGTGTATATATTTTCAAATTTAGAATATAGAAATGAATTTTTGAGCTATATATTTTTGTGTCTATAAGCATATAGTCAATAATTCTTTGTATGGCTTGTATTGTACTCAAATCGTAATTGGATTATGTGAGAATATGTAGGAGAAATTTTGTGGGAAAATTCGTGGTAGTGTTAACTAGCAACTTGTCCTTCATTGAAGCGAAACTTACATGCCCACCAGCTCATCAGTAACGTGCCCTTCAAAAGTCTACGAATCCACCATCAGGTCCATGTCATTTTACCCGTTTGTCCCCCCACCCCCTAACTTTCTTTTGTTTGCCTTTGACCACCATATAAGAAAAATTCTATTTACACACCCAAAAAAAATTAATCCATTTACGATTTTTTATAATATTTGGTTATGATTAGCAAGAGTTATCACTTATTGTGATTATGTTTTAAGTGATGTCGGTTATGATTCGAGTAGTGTTTAGTTAAGATACAGTGTTGACATCATATAATATCATAATTTGTATATGATATCATTTTTTCAAAAATATGTATTATAGAATCTCTCATCATATACTTGTCTTACCCAATCACCAAACTTATGACAAATTGTAAGGGTTTTTTTATTTTTGTGGACGCATGATAGGAAGTTAGCAGGTTAATAAGTTAGATTATAACAAAAATGATCGTAATCGCTCTATCAACTCAAATCCTGAATCTCTGGCAATCGTACTGTCTCGAAAAATAATTATATGGACAATTGGATCAACTGTCCTGTCCAACAAATTTTAATTTTACTTGATACAATTCTAGACCTACTTATAAAAAGATATTGTTCAATTCTGAAAGCAAATTTGTTTTGGGTAAGTTTTTGAAATCTGGGTAATTTTGGCTAACCATTTTGACCCTGTACTGTGTGTGAAACAGGTTCCAGGAAATCGTACCCTTGAACGCAGGAAACGTGCTAGGCGCAGAGGACAACGGTCCAGCCGCCAAGTGGCTCTCCCTCATTCGCCAAACTTTAAACGACAACAGAACTGACCCTGAAATTCCAAAATATTACAGCAATGCCACCAACACTGATCTGAAACAGTCACCACCCCAACCACCAAGTCTAAAACCAAGGCTGAGCTTCTCAGATTTGCTCTCATTAGAAGATGAACTCAATGGTGAAGATTTTCAGAGGTTTCTAAGCCTGAATTTGAACTCGAGCGAAGAATGTTCGCCAAGCCCGCCTTATATGCTGATGAGGCATAGTCCCATGCAGCATCGGTACTGCTTGGCAGCCAGCAAGCAGATGGTTGGTATTTTTTTATGCGTTTGGGTTCGAGCAGACTTGCGTCGGCACATTAGCAATTTGAAGGTCTCATGCGTTGGAAGAGGCATCATGGGTTATCTTGGAAATAAGGTATGGCCACATGCAACAGCCTAAGGTATCATTCTAAAAAAAAATAAATAACAGCCTAAGGTACACTAGTACATATGTGTGACCATAACTTCCGAAATAAAAAATAATTTAGAGTTTAAAATTTGTGAATTAAATTCATTCAGGGTATAAACACACCACCAAATTTATACGACGAGTATGCACCATTTTGGATGTCTTAAACCCCTAGTGAAAGAATTGCTTACATGAACTTTGTTGTATTGGGTTAATAATAGGGATCGATATCAATCAGTATGACATTGCACCAAACAACATTTTGCTTTGTTTGCACTCACTTGGCCTCCGGAGAGAAAGAAGGCGATGAAGTTCGAAGAAATTCAGATGTTATTGAAATTTTGAAGAAAACAAGGTTTACTCATTTGTGCCACGTGCCCAGAAGAGCAGTTCCTCCTCCTGAAAACATTTTGGAACATGAGTAAGTGTATATGTGTAGATGTTTAATCTGTTAGTCATTTTTATGTTGAAGTTCCGAAATTTTCTTGTTTTCATTTACATTCTAACTTCTTTAAATTTGTTTTTTTGTCCATAATTAGTAAGATTATTTGGCTTGGGGACCTCAATTATCGACTTGCTTCTGGTTGCGGTGACGCACATGAGTTACTGAAGAAGAATGACTGGAAAACACTTCTAGAAAAAGATCAGGTGAGTGACCGATACAAATTAATTTGTTAACTTAAAAAAAAGAAAAAATTCTATTTCTAAATATTTTGGTAAGACAATACAGAATCACTTTATGTAGCCCACACAAATTAAGGAGTATTTTAGGATCCAATTTTTAATTTTATTTTTATTTATTTATTTTTTTTTCAAGTGTTTGTCTAGCTTAGGACTTTGAAATTTTAAAATTGCTTGAATATTATGATCATATTTGTTTGGTTTTGTTTGGCAGTTGAGGATAGAGCGAAGAGCGGGGCGTGTATTTGAAGGATGGGAAGAAGGGAGAATATATTTTGCTCCAACATACAAATACCTGGCCAATTCGGATAGTTATGTTGCCCAAAATTCTACATCTAAAGAGAAGCGAAGAACTCCTGCCTGGTAAGTCTTCAAAAATAAGTATTTTTTTTACAAAAAAAAAAAAAAAAAAATTAAAAAAAAAAAAAAAAAAAAAAAAATCCAAAAACAAGAAAAAGTTAAAAAACACTGTTGTTTTTTTCTATTTTCTTTGCCAAGTAGTTTTTCAAGAAACCAATTAATGTTTAATAAAATTTTTATTTTTTTTGGTTTTTTATCAAATGAAAACACAAAACAAGAAAACAATATTAATTGGATTCTATGATTATTTTGCGTCATGTGTTTTTCACAGCTTCATGTTTTATGATTTTGTTTTACCATTTGGCCTCGTTTGAAAACAAGTTTTTTTAGTGACTTTTTGATTTTTTAACTAAAATATGATATAAAAAAAAATTAATATATTTGGGATAATTTTTTGATTTTTTACGAAAAAATGTGTAAAAAGTAAAAAGAAGAAGGAATTTTTTGGCTTTTTGGTATAGATTATTGACTTTTTAATTTTTTTTATTGACTTTTTAACTTTTAAGCTAAAATGTGATATTGCCAAATGAGACCTTTGTTTCCATTTGTTTGTTCATGCATCTAAACCAACTTGCCCCACTTAATGCCAAACCTCAAGAAAGTCTTCTTTTTTATTTTTTTCTTATAAAATAGAATTTAGGATTATAATAAATTAATGCGGACTCGTTAATAATTATTATCCTTTTCACAAAATTAAGGAATACATTATTAAGTTGATGTGATATACGTTTTTATTTGTTGTTGGTTATATGGTAAAAGTGAGACTTGAGAATGCCTGTTCTGAGATGTTGAATGTTAGATATCAAATTCTGACTTCACTTTTTATCACATGAAATAATGAGTAAAATATAATCACATAATATACCTTTACATAAAATATTTTTTTCATTTCAAATTATTGTCAACATTTCACATTTTTCCAAGACAGTAGTGGTCAACTGAAACTATTAACCACTAAACTAAGCAGCAAAAAAACGAAAAAAAGAAAACATGTGTGAAACTTAAAAACTATAGAGTTGGCACAGACCATTTTAGGCCAAGGTCAAAATAAAAGATGACCCAGTTTCTCATTTCTTAACAGTGTTTTAAAATATAATAATGCACAGACAATTTACGTAGAAAAAATAAAAATAAAAAAATTTGAAATCACATGGTTGAAATGTTAATAATCATGTCCTTATCTAGGTTTCCCATTGATTAAGAATTGTATTGGGAAAAATGAAGAGTCGGTTGGTGAGGTTAAGACTATATATTCTTGTTGAAAATAAAATAACTACAAAAAGTCTTGTGATTCTATATAAAAATTCCATTTATAAATCATTATTCATACTTTTAATGACAGGTGTGACAGAATATTGTGGAAAGGTGAAGGACTAAAGCAGATGTGGTATGTGAGGGGTGAGTCCAAGTTCTCAGACCACAGACCAGTTTATTCACTCTTCTCAGTTCAAGTCAATCTCCCCAACAAGAAGCCCAAACCCATTAGCCCCACCACCACCACCACCACCACCAACCACACTGCACCACCACTACCACCACCATTGCTGTCGCCACCAGCCACCGCCTTGTCGTCAACATGTGTTGCCAAAATTCAAGCAACAGAGTTGTTGCTCCTAACCAGGGCACAAAGCTGCATACAGAGCACACCAAGGTTTAGTCACAGCCCAAAAGTAACCCACCAATAGGATCAACACACCTGTACACATACATACTGACAAATGACATGTCGACAGGCGGCACCCGGGAAGCATGGCCCCTGACACTGACACTGGTCCCGTGTCGCCGTAATTTTTTAACGGCTTCGGAATTATTGACTGGGCTGGTGGTGTTCATGATTGGCCCAACCCAAGTGTCATATGTTGTTTTCAGTGGTTCAGATGAATGATCATATACAGATAAGATATTAAAATCACATGCGGGTTTTGGCGTGCCTGTTGCCGCAGCGTCCCATGGATGACACATGGCTTGATCAGGGGACAGTTTCAAATATGGGACTAGCTGGAACTTCTTGATAATCATGATGGTGTTCTAAAAACTGCAAATCGACATACAGATTGATTTTGAGCCTTTGATGTGAAGAATGTGCTTAGCTTTTGCAAAAGAAATTTTTTTAATTTTTTTTGGGAGGGTGTGAGGAAAGAGAGTATATTATATAGATGGGTGACTGATTAAAGCAAAGAAAGTGTAGGATAAAAAGGTAAATGGCTTTACAGAAGGATATAGTAGTTGTTGTAGGAGTTGGGAGGGCAAAATGGTAATTGTAGTTTGGATAGGAGAATTTTGGGTCTTGTTTGTTATCCATTTTATATCATATTGTCAATTTTTGTTTATCATGATGATTATACGTACTAACATAGAAAAATTATGTACTTATGTCTTGTTTGTCAAATATATATTTTAATAAAAAAGTCATTATAAGTTATCACATCACTCTATTTTTGTATATATCTTTTCGTAAAAAGTCAAAAAGGTACTAAAGTAGCATGTTTTCAAACAAGGCTTAATTAAAGAATTCAACGAAGAAGATGATCAACATCATTATGCGATCGCTATCTACAAGACAAAAAAACTTTCAGACAACGGTCGTGAGTCCTTTGACACTCAAGTCAGTATTTCAATATTATCAAAATATTTAATGGATTAATTTATGAAGATAAATTCTCTACCTCAATCCATATGGGTGTCGCCTATTTATAATATCCAGTGATGTGCTTATCAATTAGTTTCGAAGTCATATTCCAAACAATCTTCATGTTGTTTAGGGTTATTATATCAATATGCTTTCATCTCTTGATGAGTTTTGCTTAACATAAAATACTAATACAGTGTTTGATAATGATTTAACCACTGTCAAATACGCGATAATCCATAATTCTGCCATGTGACACTGTCAAGACTCATATAATTTCTGTGATTATTTTTATTTCCTCTCAATTGTTCCTGAGCTTTCATTCTCTTGGACCCAGTGAAATAATGGAAACTTTCTGTTGTTCTAGCTAAAAATACATGAGTGGTAGGGCTTATTCTAAAATGCCTAACCTTATTAGAACTTATTTTGACAATACCTAATCTTGCTAGGATTTATTTTGAGAATGCCTAATCTTGCTAGTAATTATTGCAAACAGTGTTAGGAACTACCAAATTACTAACTTGCTTCTTGGCGAGCAAAATCTGCTTGGTAAAAAATCCCACTATTGGACAAACCACCAACTTACTTCTTGCCGAGTAAAACCCGTTCGGCAAGGAATGCCAAAGTTAGACAAACCACCAACATATTTTGCCAAGCAAAAACTAGCTCGGCAAAACCCTCTAATTTACTTCACTGAGTAAAACTCACTCGGCGAAGATTTTCGAAGTTAGAAAAAATCCTCCAACCAACTCACTTCACTGAGCAAAACCCGCTCGGAGAAGATTTTTGACCAACCTATTTTGCTGAGCAAAATGCCGCTCGGTAAAGATATTTAAATTTTTAATCAAGGGGCAGCGTAATTCATCTTGTCTCCTTGATCTATAAAGGGTGGATTCCATTTTAGCATATTTGACCAAATAACGGTCTCTATCCACGTTCGGTATATAAAAATTCTTCATGGCCAGAGTAATAATACATAAAATTCATGCCCTATAGATAACCAAAATCCAATAAAATAATTGATCTTCCATATCTTCATGGTCGAAATAATAGTATATAAACTCCGTGCTCTGCAGATAATAAAAATCCGATATAATAATTGATAATAATATCTCTAAACTCAATGCATAAAATCCATGCTTTATAGCTAACAAAAGTCCAGCACCACACATAATAAAATATCTTCATGCATAAAAATCCACGCGTTCTGAAAATCTAATCAAGAACCTGTTTGTTATCGCAAGATTTGTCCATATCGGTTTATGCTGAGCCTATCACATGGATTACAAATTCGAATTCAATATTCTATTGATTTCTTGAAATTGATCACATGGACTCCTCTTAGGACCTTATTCCAGGTGCAAGCATAGAAAAGTTGCATAACAAATTTAAGTTTTGCAACTTATCTGTTCATCTTTTGTGAAGCTAATAATTGTAAATTCATAGGGCTTCGCTTCAGTCTTTGCTGTTTAGAGAGGATGACTTCCGTCTTGAATTAGAGTACCAGCTGATCTTCTGGTCTTGTTGCATCTATGCTTGTACATTTAGTTAATGGTATTATTGAAGAAAGAACCCTATCGTGCTCTAATAATATGATGTGATTGGCACATCGCAGTGGATCGCTATACATACGGCTAAAAAGAATTGCTCTATATACAATACATTATTCAAATGGCTTCACCTAATAAATCTTGATGCATACCAACACCAATGCAAAAACATTACATCTGTTTTGTTTTTGATGATCTTAGTGTTGGATCACGTAAGTGGAATCATGAATTGCATGATCATTGTGAATGGTTTAATCTCTACATTGAATTATTTTGTTTCCACAGATAGCACCAATTGTACAAACATAGAAAAATCATGTACTTGTTGATGAAGAAACCCTACAAAGAAGATGATTAGCACCACCATGCGATCGCCATCTACAAGACAAAAACGATTGCCATCTACAAGACAAAACACCCTAGTCGTTGAACGATTGGGAGCCCTCTAACGCCTAAGTCAGCCCTCTAATATTATCAAAATATTTATTTAATGGACTAATTCATAGAGAGAAATTTCCTACCTCAACCCAGTGTGTCGCCTATTTATAATATTCAGTGACTTGCCTATCAAGTAGTTTGAATGTTCTAGAAGTTCTATCCCAACCAATCTCTAGTTGTTTATGACTCTTATATCAATAATGTGGAGACATAATTTTTGAATGACAACACGTGGCCGAGGTGTCACCGAAGTGCCAGCCGAGGTGCCATGTGTCCTGGTCATGACACCGAGATGATCTTGGCTAGGCCGAGGTTATCTGCAAAGAAACCAGAATCCGGGATAAGCGGATAAGGGACAAGAGTCCTAGAATGAGAGAAGACTTTAGTTTGGGTAAAGATAAGACTCTTAGAGAGTTTATCTCAATCCTACTGGGAGTCCAAGATTAGCAGTAATCCTAAGTCCATTGAAGCTAGGCTTCTATTGGGACTAGGTTTGTGTAGGCTATAAAAGAGAGGCACCTCCATGGGTCTAAGGTGTGACAAATCTCACCTCTGATTACTGCTAAACTGTGACTGAATATGATAAGTAACTGATTAGGAGGAAATCCTAAACTGATTGCATGAGTGTATTGTCTGTAAATGCATTTCTATCCGTTTGACTACTAAATGATCTGTTCGTGTTTTAACTTCGAATTGTGAATTGAAGACCTTATCGGCGGCCAAATCTAAATTTGATTGGTGTTTTATGTTAATTAGAATTTATGTGATATTATGGTAGATTTAATTTAAATTTAATTTGGTGTAATTAAATTAGATTAAATAAAGCTAAATTACACTAGTTCAAGTTTATTACAAATTTGCCATTGAGTGGCCATTTCCTATGCACTTGTTTGGGACTTAATTAGTACATTCTATACATCATTTCATCATCCTTCCTAAGACCAAAACCGTGAGCAAGAGAGAGAGAGAGTAGGAGAGCTTTGGTTTCAACAAGAATTGCTTAGAGAATTAGAAGAATTGAAGAGTAGATTGCATAATTAAGCTTCTAGACTTGAAATTGAGGACCTAAGGTAGGATATTTATCCTTTAGTTTGTGAATTCAAGTTGGTTCTTGCATGGTTCATGAGTCATTAGTGATCTAAGTCAAGAATTGGTTTAAAGAGTTGATTTGAGTAGCTAAATCATGCATGCATGTACACATTGTTGAGTTTTGAGGTTGATTTCATGGAAATCCTCACATGCATGTCTATATTCTAGCTATGGTCCATGAATTCATCATGTTTTTGAGTGAATTGACTTATTTGATCAAGTATTTGAAACTTTGATTTCAATTGAACACTTGCATGATACATATACATTATGTTCATGAAGTTTTGTTTGGATTTGTGTTTAATTGAACTACCTTTGGGCTTTGATTTTGCAAATTGATCTTTAAAACATGTCATATTATAAGTTTTAAAGTGTTTTCCAGAAAATTGGCCCAGAAGAATCGAATTTGATGCTTTAAATGTTGAATTTGAGCTTGGAGGTTCAATCTGAAAATTTCAGATTTTGGACCCACGCTCAAGGGTAAGATTTTACGCTCGAGCGTACACTTTGCGTACATGCATCCCGCTCGAGCGGGAAAAGTAACGCTCGAGCGTGAAATGCGTGTATCCAGTACTTTTCATGTGTTTACAGTCCGCTCAAGCGAGGGAATACATGCTCGAGCGAGGACTTGTGTCTCACGCTCGAGCGGAGGTCGAGCGCCCATCGAGCGTGAATTGCATGCATCCAGTACTTTTGCCTGAGTTTGCAGTCTGCTTGAGCGGGGAAAGTCACGCTCGAGCGGAGCTCCTTTGTCTGCATGTCCGCACGAGCGTAGAAAGCCACGCTCGAGCGAGACCCCTGTTTTCTGAAAATTTTGAAAAGTGTTTTAAAGTGCATCTTTGCATCCTCTTTCCATCCTAGGCATTCTTAGGCCATGTTTAAGGCATCTTAATGAGGATTTTGATGCAGAACCACACCGAGTCGAATTAGGGGTTAAGTTATTAAACCCAAGTGTATAACTTAGTGTGTGTTCGTTCTGTAACTGTAGGGCTGGCATCCTAGGATGCGCACTAGCCTATTGTAACAAGCCCGCGGGGGACCTCGCTACAGCTCGGACTCGACTTTCGTAGTCACGGTTCTAAGTCTGAACCAAAGAGTCCAAATCCGGCAAATCGTTTTAGGAAATCTGATTTTTTGAAAGAAGTGCCAAACATGGACTGCTTTGCCAGATACAGAGTCGCCACCTAAATATTTTATTTGGGAAATTTAGGAAACCCTGACTCGGTGCCAAAAGGCCACGTGTCCGTCATCACCAAAGTTGCCTCGGCTCGGGAACTTGGGTACGATTGGGGAAGGTCACTTCGTGAGCACCCCCGCTCGCCCGGTCATAGACCGGCCTCTACTAACCATGATATCAATTTTTGAAAACTTTGCGAGTTCTTATTCCGGTTTATTAGCCTAGGTTACTATGTGATGCGCACAGCATGCAAATATAGACCGGGTCGCCTGAATTGGAACAAAACATTTCATACTTTGTTTTTTGAAAATGGTTTGCTACCCGCAGGTAGGCTTTAAAACATTTGATGATTTATTCCAATTCAGATAACCCAATCTTCACCCACAGGCATTCAGGCAGTTATATCACATAAGCACATAGCCTCATGGTAAGCATGCTATCATGGCATTCACTCACACGCATGCAAGGATGCTAAAGCA